TATATATATATATATATATATATATATATATATATATATATATATATATATATATATATATTTACTGTTCAGTTTCGGTATGTGAATGGTCAGTATTGAGGAGAAAGTGAGACAATGCATTGATGATAAGCTAAATTTCTCTGCAGCCATCTCTGTGTTTTCTTTGGTTCCTTTTATGTTTTTAACATTGAGTATCAGGAGTCAACCAATGTCAATGTCACAGAGCTAATTAAAAAGTAAAGATATCGACGAGATGCATTTAAAGGCAAAAATATTCACACAAAGCAACCAAATTATCACAATCATTTTTATAACTTTGTTTATTTTTCTATAATTAATCTAATTTGCCTAGTTTAGCCTATAGTTAAGCTTTTAAATTGCACTTTAAGCTGAGTATTAGTATTTTGCTAAATAACTAGTAAAAATGTGTTATTTAAAAAATATCTTAAACAGCATGTACATACATTTTTGCAGAGACTCAATGAATTTGTTTGAAAACTTCAAATGAAGTAGGTAAAAGTGGCATTAACAGTATAGTATAAAGGCTTTCCTAAATAAATGTATTAATCAGGTTATTTGTTTTTTTTTAATTATTATTATTACTACAGGTTTGGAACAACATGAGGATCAGATTATTATTTTTTTTTTTTTGCTTTGGATGAAGTTTTTATATATTTTTTGTTTTTATTCAATGATATGTGCATGATTGTGATAAATGTAGGCAATTCCTAAATGTCAAACTCCTGAAGGGCCGCAGCCCAGCAGAATTTAGTTCCAGCCCTGCTTCAACACACTACCTTTAGATTTAGTTTGATCAGGTGTGTTTAATTAGTATAACTGCACTGTTACTCTGTTGTATGTGCAGTAAATAACTGTAAAATAGCCAGTGTTTTGCTGTAATAAAAGGAAACATTTATTATTTATTAACACATATTATTTTACTATAAATGGAGTAGACTTTGTATGAAATTGTGTAGTGCAAAGAATAAATTCCAGTAATTTACTTTATGTACTCATAACAGATAGTAACTGACAATAAATAGCAAATTACTGTTCAACCATTACTGTCCCATCTTCTCTGATTTTTTATGTTGCTATTTATAGAGACGTGCATTTTAAAGGCAGAAAATAATGATTTAGGCATCACCACACACTCCCACAGATTGTCTGTCTTATTCTAAACACAAAGGTGTTAGAAAGAGTTTTCAGAAAATGCCGGCCCTTTAAGGGAGCCAGGTGTTTGATTTGTTTACTGCTGAGTGTGCTCTATTCTCTGTCCATCAATTCAGATGTAGAGTCTGATATGTTTTAGGCTTTAAATAAGAATCTACAATGAGTAAGTAAAATGTGTTCAAATGTTTTTGAGGGTTTCTAAAATAAGGCTGTGTTTTAACTTATATTGCTGTTATCTTGAACTGTGTACTTGAAAGCTACATTGTTAGCTAGTTAGCCTCTCCTTATATAACTTTTAACATTACTTTTGTTTAAGTATAAGTATTTATTGGATATTGCATACGGCTATAATGTACAGATGCTAACAGTTGTATGTATCTTTCTGGCAACTAAGCCAAATTTAAATTCCATCATCTCAGTAAGGTAACATGTGCACATCATCACAGGGAATCACAAAAACATGATACACATAGCCATCTACACACAAAAGGTCCACTGTCCGGTCCCAGGTTGTGAGTTTGTTGCTAAGTATTTTTCAGAGCAGTGTTTATGAATTTATATTAGAAACAATAAAAAAGTTTGTTGTCATGAGATAATTATAACAATAAAAGATTGGATCCTTTGGTTTTTCGGTGTTGCCAACTTTATTTTTATTTTTTATAATTATTTTAAACTTTTTATTGAGATTTGACACAGTTTTTAATTATTTAAAACTTTAAAATAATTATTTTGTGTTTTTTGCTGTTCATTTGCTGATCTACCTTCCTGCAGATTTCAGTTTTTATCCATATCAAACACACCTAAACCAATTAATTAGGACCTGAACACCACGTAATAATTACAGGCAGGTGTGTTTGATATGGGTAGCAACTGAAATCTGCAGGAAGGTAGATATCCAGGAACAGGACTGAGCACCACTGCTGTATACCATGGGGGTCAAACTCCAAGTTCCTGGAGAACTGCAGCAGCAGAGTTTAGCTCCCACCCTGCTTCAACATTACCTGTAGATTTCTAACAAGCCTTAATTAGTTTGATCAGGTGTGTTTAATTAGAGTTACAGCTTAAAGTCCCGGTCACACTGAACTTTTCTCCCTACAGACTTCCATTCATACGCATGTGAGTACTGCTGACCTGGAATGATAGCTCATGTGACATTTCATAATTCGCAGCATTGAAAAGTTCAAGCTTGGAGAACGCTGACATGCAAAATCACATCATGTGATTGCTTGATACCAATCAAAGATCAAAACATGACCTCTCTGGCTTGCTTTTTCAATCTCTAATTATTTTGTTTAATTCCACTACTCGCTTTGTTTAATTCCACTTCGCAGTGCAGTATGACAGAATTTTGCTTGCTCAAAGGTTAATGTGACCGCAGCCTTACTGTGCAGACCTGTTATATGCAAGACAATATTTATATCTGCTGATTTCTTAATTTTGTTATACTTTTTCTGTTATTTATTTGTTTGGTGCCAAAACAATAAAATAAATTTGTCTGAAAAATGTTATGCCTTCTATTTTTAAATAACAGCTAAGAATACTAATTAATTTTAGTAACACTACAATAACTATATATGACATACTATGAATGTGTATGCAGTATAATGCTGCAATTTGTAACACTACAATACAGTAATTAACTGTACACAGTTTCCAGTTAGTTACCACTGCTGCTCTATTACAGTAATTAACTGGCAACACTGTTGCCAGCTACTCACTGTAATGGTTCAGTTACAGTAAATTACTGGCAACACTGTTGCCAGTATTCTACTGTAAAAAACCCCAGTAAGGTCTAACAGTGCTCCTTAACCATCCCTCCTTATCAGGGGCGTAGCAACCAGGTGGATGGGGGATACGCCCCCCTTACTTTTAGAGACAGACCATTTAGAAACAGGTGATTAGGAATGTACAACCCCACCACCCCCCCCCCCCCCCTTCTGCCCCCACCAACACTATTAAATGTCCAATATATTAGCGCAAAAAATCTAAATGAAAAACCCGTATTTGCTGTGATAAAAGAAGACATCATGGGTATATTTTAATGTAATAAGTGACACCTCAGAAGACAAAATGCAATGAACGCGCAGTGGCTTTTGGGGGCTTGAGTTCTGTGAGGTAATAAAGCTGAGCCACTTTGATGATGGACTTTGGCTGAGAGATTTTAAAAGGACCACTTTACAATAAGGTTGTATCAGTTACTGTTAGTTAATAATGGCTCGTTTCCACTGAGTGGTACGGTACGGTTCGGTTTGGTACGCTTTGGTGGAGCCAGGCGCATAGCTGAACGCTATTGGTTTACAAATATTGGTTTAAAAATACAAAGCCGAGAGATTACAGCGTAAATATATATACATATAATGACAAGCCATGGTCGACCCGGGCTCAAACAAACCTTGTCTTCATCTTGATGAACAGCCATAAAGCCAAAAAGAAGAGCAGATTTACCCTGTGCCCCTTACAAGTTTTTTACAAGCCAGTCTGAAGTGCGAGCGGTTTCACCTTCTTCCTGGCGCTTGTCTATATCTGAAATAACAAACTTTGTGAGCTAATGACAATAACGTGCGCTTGATTATTGACATACTTTTAAAACCCGATACTGTCATAAACTGACAAACGCGAGAGTGCCATGTTTAACTATTATTATCATCACCTTTTGGATTAATATCAACTCAGAATGATGGAATTATTCTCTAACAGAGGTTACATGTGCTGCTGAAGATTACAGACACAGATGAGAGGTTTGCTCTGACTGTGGACTATATTTTGTGTTGTTTTTTAAACTAAATGTCTGCTGTGTGTAGTTTTTCTGTAGTTGGTAACATATCGGAGACTGTAAGGGTCTGTGTGTGTTCATATATGATGGATTAATTTATTTAGTATAATTGTAGATGTTACAGTAGGCTATTTTGCACTGTCATTGATGTGCAGTTATAATCAAATCCTGTTCATTGAAAAGTTAGTAAACATTTATACAGAAGTATTTATGTGTATAAAGCGTCTGTTTTGTGAGAAGTGCTTCTCATATGAGATGATAAGCGACCCGTACAGCTTTAATGTAGACATTTTCTAAAGCGAAAATGATGTCGACTTAAACTTACTGTCATACACCATGCCCACCAAAAGGGTACCCTTGGTAGTGGAAACGCAAGCCTGATAAAGGTGACCCGTACCGAACCGAACTGTACCAGTCAGTGAAAACGAGCCATTACATGAACAAACAATGAGCAATACAGTTATTACAGTATTTGTTCATTAAAATGCAGTTGTTTTTTGTTTGTTGACGTTAACTCATGGTGCAATAACTAATGAATTTGGATTTTAATTATGCATGTTAAACTATGATTAATAAATGCTGTAAACATATGGTTTATTATTAGTTCATGTTAGGAATTTCATTAACTAATGAAACCTTATTGTAAAGTGCTGACCACATCATTTAATTTGTATGCAAGTTTAATGTTTTACAATGTGGTCGGTTTGCTGGTTTGTCCATTAGTTTAGTCCCAATGTGCCCATTTTTGTTATCTATTAAAACAAAATCACACAACTTTTTTGATGCGGATGGTTGGAATTTTTTCAGTAAATGTGTTTTCATTGTAGTAAATGCACATATTTTCTTATCGGATAAAAAGTTTGTATAAGTTTTGTTATGCAGATTTTAAAAAATGTATGCAAATTTTGGCAATTCAATTAAGCAATTTTAATGTAAATTTCCAAAATGAGCACAAAAATAAGTGGATGGAAACTTGGTTAATGTGATTTTTTTCTTTCTGTTTCTACATGTCTTGAATTTCCATTTAAATGAACTGTGATTATGGTTCAAACAGATGAGGTCTGTTCTCCTGGATGGGACGGGTTGGTTTGCTGGCCTCAAGGTTCTCCAGGAACCGTCACCAAAGTGCCGTGTCCCAGTTATGTATACGACTTCAACCACAATGGTACAGTCTAATAACAAGTTATACTTTTTCTTTAAAATTATCTAAGAGTTTCCAGTCAAGTTGTTGTTTCTCTTGGTGTTTATAGGATTTGCATACCGCCAGTGCAGCTCAAATGGATCGTGGGTATCGGTGGAGAACAGAACTTGGGTCAATTATTCAGACTGTCTGCGCTTCCTCGCTCCAGGCATCGAAAAGGGCAAAGTAAGTCCAATTAAACAAGCCGAAGCAGGTTTTGGTGTCTTATTGATGAGTTTTGAAATCATCCAAGAGTCACTTTTGACAACAGCGTTAAAATGAGATGTTGGGTTAGTGTCTAAAAGGCACAGTATAAATTTGAAATAAATTTTGTACTGTCTGGAGACAGCACCTAAGCTTTTCCCTCATCATAGCACACGTGCTGCTGATGTGGTGACAATAAAAGTGATTTGATTTGATTTGATTTGACAGTTCAACCAAAATGAACATATGTAGCGTTCAGATGCAAAAGCCATCTTAAATTTCCATGGAAAATAAGCATTTTTCTCAGACTTCTATGTTTATTTTTGAGTTATTTCATTTTTAAGACGATGAAAAGAAAACATTGTTTGCAATAAAAGGTAAATTACTGGACCTACACACAGAGGAGCCAGCAGCTCAGTTTTTAAAGATAATTTCAGATGGAATTTAGAGATTTTTGGATCTGAATTCTTCATATACTGTCTGTTTACTCACTCTCAGTCATGTAAGATGTACGTGAGTTTTTATTCAGAACACTAGAAGCAAACAGGATGTTTGCTTGCTGAAACAAAATGACTCAAAAAATGATTAGCAAATTTAGAGTCAGAACGAACACACACACACACACACACACACACACACACACACACATATATATATATATATATATATATATATATATATATATGTATATTTACAGAGGCAACACAAAATTAATACCCGCATGGTACACTACTGATGAAGTGGTTGTGAATTACAGATAAAATCTTGAAATTAATTTTCAGTTTCTTGCATAACATGATCATTTCAATTCTTGAGATTTTAATGTATCATAAGATGCCAGTGGTATTACTTTTGTTTTACCTGTATATGCTTTTTTTAACTCTCAAAATGTAGGTGTTTCCATTCTCCTATTTTCAGCAACCTTTTGGATTTTTGTTTAAAAAATTCTTGAAGGAGATGACGTGATGTGCATAGATTTTGAAAAATGTGCCTAAAAAATATTTGCGCACAAATGAGTAGGATATACTGTTATTCCAATATTGAAAAATGTGCTTAAACTATAATGGAAACACATTTACCGAATAAATTCCAGCATGTGCATCAAAAAATGCAATTTTGTTTTAACAGATCATGTGATAATAAAAACAGGCGTGATTCAAAAGCCACTGCACATTCGTTACATTTCGTCTTCGTCACAAGCAAATTAATATATAAGAAAAAGACATGTCAGATTGACGATGCACCCCAACATTGTGGGGACATGGAATTTTGTTTGAAATGAAAATCAAGTTGACGTCAACATCAAAACCTCAATGTCCAACGTCCAACCTAAAATTAACCAAATATCAACATTTAATGATGTAACAGATTGATGTTGTGTGGAAATTACAACTATGACGTCTATAAGATGTTGGATTTTATTTGCTATACCTGACAAATTAATGTCAGTATTTGACATCAATATGACGTTGGTTCAAGATGTTAAACTCGAAGTTGGTTTTTAGTCACTGTCCAACATAACCTAAAATCAACCAACTATCAACGTCATTTTATGTCATTATTAAAGGTCAAAATAACGTTGTGCTTAGACGCTGGCTAGACATTGCATTTTGGTCACCTGACGTCACTATCCAAATCTAACCTAACATTAACGTCTTATGACATTGTGTGTCTGCTGGGTCCCACCGCAGCAAATTGCATGTTTTTTTGGACAGTTTAATCAGGAAGGGATGATTTTGTTTTCTTTGACTAAATGAAAACGGTGCTTTATTTCAACCCAAGCTCATTCTAAAAACGTAGTCCCGCGGACGTTTCTGGAGACAGCGGAATACGTCCTGGAAGGTAAGTACGGCTGCGTTTATTTTTTTCAAGCAAACGCTACGGGGCGGTGTGAGGCTGTTCCCTTTCATGCTTGCCGGCCGGCCAGCAGACCGCTTAACTCCTTGTAGAAGGCTTCCCCGCTGCAACCCGTTTGTCCACTCAGCTCACCGTGTACGTCGGCATGCTCGAGATGCAGAGAGGAGTTGACCACGGCGATCGGTTTCGAGTCCAAGGAAGAGCGGTTCCAGCAATCAGGTAAGACAAAAACAGAATCCCAAAAATTTAGTGAACGAGTTTCTTAACAGGGTGAGAACGCGGTGAAATCCGAAAATGCGGTAGAAAAAAAAATCAGGGCTTTTCTTTTTTTGGACGGCTTTTGTAAACTGTTGCTCGGGTTTAGGGAAGCGAGCGGGCGGGCGGGTCAATCGGTAAAATTGATTGGGTTCAGGGAAGGAGGAGGGCGGGTCAGCCGATTGGCCGGTCGCGCAGTCAATCATCCGATCAGTTGGACAGCGGCCTCTGGTGGGTTCACGCGAGAACAGCGCGGGCGCGAACTGCGGCGTTTGAGATGCGAAAAAGCGAACAACAGTGGCCTCTCGCGGATTCGCTAAAACAAAAACTGCAGCCGTACGTACCCGCCGGGACGTATTCCGCGGTCTCCAGAAACGTCCGCGGGACTACGTTTCCACAGTGAGCCTGGGTTGCTTTATTTTCAAATGTTTATGTGCTTTTCCATATTTGCACATTTTGCATCCTGGGATGGAAAGAGCTAATGACTTGCATTTTAGGAATCACCGAGAACCCCATTTTCAGCTGAAAAAACAACATTGTTGTTTTGACCAACATATTGGATGGTCACAAAATTGACAGCATATTTATATAAAATTTACATTAAAAACACTTCAAGCGGCTTATATAGATTGAAATGCCACTGGTTTAAAAGGTCAAAGTCTTCACAAATGTTTATGGCATCAAGCAACAAGTTTTGTTGGTTGAGATCACTTGATGACTGAAGCGCTGTTGTGTTTTCCAGAGGGACTTTTTCGAGCGGCTGCACATCATGTACACTGTTGGCTACGCAGTGTCCTTCAGCTCGCTACTAGTCGCCATTTTCATCATCGGATACTTTCGGTAATGGAGAATGTTTTTACACTTTGGTCCCGCCTGACAAGTTCTAAAAACACTAATAAGTCTGTGAATTCATTATGAAGCTGCACGGCAAGCAAATGTTTTAAACTAGTTGCGCATAAGTGGCTGCTGTTCAGACAGTCTCAGGTCTTCATCTACAAAGATCTTCAGACGGTAAATTAGCAAAAGAGTTCTCCAGTGAGCTTCTGCTACATCTGAACTACTTGTACATTGCTTCTTTTAATTAAAGGGCTCCACTGGAGGGTTGGGATTTATTAGCTATGGGATATATATATATATATATACATACATACACACACACACACTCACACACACACACACACACACACACACACACACACACATACTGTAAAACATGCAGTGTTCCACACAATTCATTTATTACAAATCAAGTTAACTTAACAAATTTAAGTGGATTGAACGTAAAACAATTAAGTTGTCCCGCCCCAAATTCTCAAGAATTATGTTCAACAAAAAACAATTATGTTTATGTTTTTGACTAATTTTAAAGAACTAGTTTGAACAAACAGCAAAATATTTTTTCAGGGAATGCACATGTACACAAAACGGTTAGTATTAACTAGAAATAAAGCTGCAAAAGCATTTTAATAAAATGTTATTTTATATTTTAAATAAACTTTTTTTTTAATAATTTGTCATTTAAATCAAAAGAAAATCAAAAATAACCTTAAATTTAATAGATACAATATAGACATATTTCAATGAATGCAAAGCTAAAAAAAAAAAAAAAAAAAAAAAAGGTAAAACTTAAATTTAAAGTGCAAATTTTAATAAAGAAAATATGATTACAAAAATGTATGAAGAGTCAATATTTTTGGGAAAAATTGTAAACCGAATAGGAACAAAAACTTGTTTTGTAATTTTTTATGGCAAGTTTTTTTATTATAGATTTAAATACACCATAAAATATTAATTAATTAAAAATATTATTGAATTTAATGTTTCAATATTTACTCTAAAAATTTTATAAAATGATAATAAAAAAACTTATACATTTGAATTTTTATATTGTAGTAATTAATAGTATAAAATGATGTAAAGTATAAAATATTTGAAAATCATTGTGTGTAATTTGGATAGGCTTTAAATTACATTTCCATAACCATAATTTCCACTACACAATTTATTATTTTAGATGCGTCGGTAATGACATTTATATCGGTATTCCAGAAATGACAAAACGCTAAGATTTCGCAAATCTTTTTTCCTTTGCAGATGTCTCCATTGCACAAGAAACTACATCCACATGCATCTGTTTGTGTCGTTCATGCTGTGCGCTGTCATTTTTACCACACAATTAACTATTTTAGATGCGTCGGTAATGACATTTATGTCAATATTCCGGAAATGACAAAAATGCTAAGATTTCCCAATTCTTTTTTTTTCCACTCGCAGGCATCTCCACTCCACCAGAAACTACATCCACATGCATCTTTTTGTGTCGTTCATGCTGCAAGCTGTCATTTTTGCCACACAATTAACTATTTTAGATGCGTCGGTAATGAAAAAACGCTAAAATTTTACAAACCTTTTTTCCTTGCAGATGTCTCCACTGCTCAAGAAACTACATCCACATGCATCTGTTTGTGTCGTTCATGCTGTGCGCTGTCATTTCTGCCACAATATTAACTGTTTTAGATGCGTCGGTAATGACATTTTTGCTGGTATTCCAGAAATGACAAAAACGTTAATATTTCGCAAACCTTTTTTCCTTGCAGATGTCTACACTGCACAAGAAATTATATCCACATGCATCTCTTTGTGTCGTTCATGCTGTGGGCTGTCATTTCTGCCACACAATTAACTATTTTAGATGTGTCAGTAGTGATATTTTTGTCCGTATTCCAGAAATGACAAAAATGCTAAGATATCCCAATTCTTTTTTTTTTTCTCTCAGGCATCTCCACTCCACCAGAAACTACATACATATGCATATTTTGTGTCGTTCATGTTACGCCCTGTAATTTTTGTCACACGATTAACTATTTTAGATGTGTCGTTAATGACATTTATGTTGGTATTCTGGAAATGACCGATTTCCCTTGTAGGCATCTCCACTCCACCAGAAACTACATCCACATGCATCTGTTTGTGTCATTCATGCTGCGCACGGTCATTTCCACCACACGGTTAACTATTTTAGATGCGTCGGTAATGACATTTATGTCTGTATTCCATAAATGACAAAAATGCTAAGCTTTCCAATCTTTTTTTCTCGTAGGCGTCTCCACTGCACCAGAAACTACATCCACATGCATCTATTTGTGTCGTTCATGCTGCGCGCCATCAGCATCTTCGTGAAGGACAGAGTGGTGTACGCTAATGGTGTCCTGCAGGAGTACGACACCATGCTAATGGACAACATCAGCACCGTCTCCATTTCCCCTCTTGACAAGACTCAGTATGTGAGTGCACTAACGTTGATGAACCAGGCCGGGTTTAAGCTGAGCTGAATTCATTCGTTTTGGCTAAAATGATTTAATGAACTTCAGTTAACTTAAATTAAGTTAACTTTTCTCCGCATTGGAGCTGGTTGGGGTCTCTTTTTTTGGAAATTCGGCAGTTTTTTGACTGTATGTTATTAAATAGAAAATGCCTGCTGTGTTAAAGCACTCCTGGGATGTTTCTTATGTGCATATGAGGCTTTCAGCACTAATGCAGCTTAATGAGGAGCAAATGATGTGTGGAATTAATGCTGTATCTGTGTGTTTTAAGACGAGCAAATACTGTGCAGCCACAGGGAATGAAGGGAAATTCTGTCACCTCATTTACGCAGATAATTGAGTCATATTTCTTTGTAAAAATCTTGATATGTTTAATTAAAATGTACACAAAATATTAACTACTTTAAGAACTACTGTATAATAGATCTATTAATATATGTCGATTTAAAATGTAACTTTTTTGTAATATACAGTATAGTAAAATAAAAAAGCTAAAAAACATAAAATGCAAGGGGGAGGGAAAAATAGTCATATCCTTATTTACTAATGAATTCACTCTTAATTTATATTGTGACGACATGTTCTCATGAATTTCCAATTTAGTCTCTTGTTTAGTAAATCATTACCACAGTTTAACAATTTGTTTACTTGTTTCTTAAAAATGTTGCCCAGAAAGTAAGAATTTATGCTTTTGTTTTAGTAAATTATCACTACAATTTAGTAATTTGTTTAGTTTACTCATTACTAATTTTGTTTACTCATTTTGTTTTAATTGTGGCAGTTGAGTAAGAATTTGTTCTTACATTTTAGTAAATCATTGCAAAAGTTGTCATTCGTTTACTTGTTTATTTACATTGTGGCAACAAATTAACAATTTGTTCTTTTTATTTTTGTAATTCGTCATTTTTAGTCATTCGTCAGCACAGTTTAGCAATTTGTTTACTTGTTTATTTAAATTGTGGCAACAAATTAACTATTTGTTCACTAATTTTTTTGTAATTCGTCACCACAATTTGGTAATGTTTACTCGTTTCGTTTAATATGTGGCAACGAATTAGGAATTTGCTAAACAAATTAGTCTGTGTATCATCTGTTCATTCGATTATGCCATTTATTCTGAAAATTTAAACACCACAAAAACAGTCAATATTTGTTTTTTCTGTTTATTCTGTAGGCACAGATAAACAAAAGCTGTTGTCCTATTTTTAACACAAAATGGAGAATTGAAACAAACACAAAACTGTGCATTTAATAATTAAATCATTTGATAAAAAATTAACACCACAAAAAAGAGATTTCAATGTGTGGGCATGCATTTGATTCGCCTTTTTTGCAGATTGGACAATAGCTATGAGGCACTGTGTAGGATTTAAATCAAACTTCACTTATCAACAAATACATAAAACACGTACATTTCAAAATAAATGGTATAATCGAATGAGTGGATGGACTGAATTTGTTCTTTCATTTTTAGTAATTCGTCACCACAATTTAGCTATTTGTTTACTTATTTCGTTTAAATTGTGGCCATGGTTTAACAATTTGCTTTCTTGTTTTAGTAAATCATCACCACAATTTAGTCATTTGCGTACTGATTTCATTTAAATTTTGGGCAACAAATTAATCACTTGTTTTGTCGTTTTTTGTAATTCGTCATCACAATTTATTCATTTGTTTACTCGTTTTGTTTACATTGGGGTCATGAATTAACAATTTGTTCTTTCGTTTTAGTAATTCATCACAACACATCAACACAATTTAGTAAATTGTTCTTTCGTTGTAGTACATCATCAACACAATTTACTGTACTAATTTGTTTACTGATTTTAGTTTAATTTTGCTCTCAAATGTATATATTTTTATATTTGGGGTTAATTAGATTTTTTTCAAATTGATTAAGATCATTTTTCTCTTATAATTTTGATTAAATAATTGTTATTTTGACAAACTGTTATTTTCACGTTATTGTGATATTGTGAAATTCAAAAGAGAGCGAAATAGTTTTTGGAGAAATTGCTGAGAATAGGAATTTTTTTATTGCTTGCGAAGTTTTGCAAACATTTTGCAAACATTGCTGCAACTTAACATTTCTTAGCAACCATATCAACAACCAGATCGGTTTGCACTATAAATTTTTCAGTGCTTTTAAGGTCATGCCCCATATTCGTAAAAAATTATGTATTCCAATTTACACACTGTATCTAAATAATATTCAAAACTACAATTATTGTGTCCCGAATCAGAATATATTAAAATAAGCGTTCCAAAGATGATCTACTTTTTCTGGTAGAAATTCAAAGTACAGATTTGTGGTTGATCCAACCTCTAATAATTTGTGTGTTTGGCGTGAATTTAATTAGAACTACAAATACAAGTAATGAGTGTCAATAAATTATAGACATGGTAGATGCGTGAGGCAGATGGTTAAGTGGAGAGGTTTTGGTGAAGATTAATATCTAATAAAAAATTTAACATTTTCCACCTTCTAACAACAATGTGAGCTTTTATAAACATGTGTTTGGTTGATAAATTCAGATTGCATAACACCTAAGGAGATTTCTCTGCATGAAAGACTTGCCAAGGGCAGAATAACCTGCTGCTGAGTCTAAAATATGGTAGGAAATTAAATATAAAAAATGTCAAGACAAGATGATTGACAGGGCATGTATCTAAGCAACAGAGCGGTCTATTAATGAGGGAGCAGCATGTCCCAGAGCTTGCCTACTTCTTTGTTATGCTCTCAAAAAGTACATACTTTTCGGTCATAGTGTAAGTAGGCGAATTGGGAGTGCCCAATTCTCAGATATGCAAAAATGGAGTCATAATGTCCACTTATCTAAATAATACAATCAGTATGGCTGCGTCCGAAATTGCATACTTTCATACTATATAGTACGCTAAATATAGTATTCGAGCCGAGTAGTATGTCCAAATTATTAGTAATCGAAAAACAGTATGCGAGAAGTACCCGAATGACTACTATTTCTGGCAAGATTCTAAAGTATGCTTCCAATGGATGTTATGCTCTCCCATGATGCCACAGGAGAGAATTCATAAATGGGAGTGAAGTGATGCAACTGACTTGGGTACAGCAGGTCACGTGATTATAAGAAATGGCGGATGTAGTTAGGGATGCAACAACTATAAATTTTGGTTGTACGATTATAATCTAAGAAATAATCACGGTTTCATGTTTTTTTTCGATTATTTGCATTAATTGATTTAAAACCCCACTATTTCAAAACTAGTTTAAAATTTAGTTTAATTTCGTTTTGTAGTTCGGGCCCAACTAAATATTTGTTGCCCTTCTAATCGTTTAAGTTTGTTTAATTGAATATATAAAAATAAGTGGATATTATTGATCCATTTATTGGATAAAATAGCTTTTTCAATGTGTTTTGGTCATTATCAATGCACCAGCAAAAACTTACTTAGCGGTAAAACTATCGCGCCACTGCTGCTTCAACGATGCTCACGCCTCGTGTTGACGCACTGCTTCTGTGTGCAGTATAAAAGCTCTAATCCGTTAACATGGACGCCAAAAAAAAACACGCTTTGCTCATGCTTGCGGTGTGAAACAGGATTGAGTTTTTCAGCACTCTCTCCGAAAACACTCTGTTGATCTCAGCTGGCATTCGCCACATGATCGCTCTCATCAGCGCCATTATTTGTAACTTTAAGTGGGTTTGCAAATCTGTGTACTTTCCATTGCTTCTTCCTCAAACTTTAGCCATGTGCAATTCCCGCGGTCACAAAAGCCCCCTGTCATCTCAACTAGGTGCGCCTGAAAATCGTGAGCATGTTGCATCGCGTGCGCATCCCTTCATTGGAATTACCGAACTTGCACGAGCTTGAGTTAATAGCCACATTCATAGTTAGTCCAGTGTGTGTGGTTATTAGTCTTGGTGTACAAACTAGTGCATAGTTGGCATAACGTTTAGTTGCTGCAGTTTTGTTCCTTGCAGAAACACGGTGTTGAGAAGCCTTTACGATTAATTAACCGTGACGAATTAAATCGCGGTTAATAGTGAAACCGGTTAATCGCATCCCTAGATGTAGAACACCCGAATTTCGTTCATACTCACATTCACACTGTATAGACCGTACTTTTCTAGCGGTCGTGTAGTTCAAATTCAAATATAGCATATACTAGAGTAGTAGGTTATTTAAAATGGAGTCTACAGCTGCGTCCGAAACCGCATTCATCCATACTATATAGTACGCTAAAATCCGTATGCGAGTTGAGTAGTATGTCCGAATTCATAGAATTCGAAAATCAGTATGCGAGAAGTACACGCAGCCGATGACTTAAAAGCTACATAAGAGCAAACTGTTGTCCTCTGATTGGCTGGATTCAAACGGCTAGAGGATCCTGATTGGCTGTTTGTATTTTCAGTTTGGCTGCAAGATCACAGTCCTGTTCTTCATTTATTTCCTGGCGACGAACTACTACTGGATTCTTGTGGAGGGCCTGTACCTTCACAGCCTCATCTTCATGGCGTTCTTCTCCGACTCCAAATATCTTTGGGGTTTCACCCTCATAGGATGGGGTAAGAGCGCATGATTTTTGTCTCTAAACATTATTGATTCGTCCTACCCAGATGTAACCTCACCAATTCTACAGCTTGTGTGACGGCTTTTGTTGTATCTGCTCATAGGAACGGCAGTGGAAGCATTCTGCTGTGCTTTGAGGCGGCAAACACTTACTTAAAGCCAGATTTATTCATACATTAAGTTTGATGCAAAATACTCCACAGGCAAGCCGGGCAGACATCTTTGAAGTGCAAATTCTTCTGGGAAGGTTGCTGCGTTTTTGGACACTTTGTTAAAATCCCAGTGACAGAGATGTTGGTTTTAAGTTATACAAACCCACAGTGACACAGGGTCCACGTCTAGTATTTAAGAAACACATCGATGTTCCGAACACATTAATGTGTCTTGATAATCAATGATGAATAATTCATGATCCCGGCGTTCGATGTGTTAGCGGTAGAGTAAACACCTAATGAGGGTTAAATTTTCATATTCGAGCACTCCGAGACACCAGATCAAAAAGATGTGGCTGCGGCATGTTTGCTGAGGTCTGCTTTCGGCTTCTTCATAATTAATAAACTCTGTATTTAGGAAGATGCTTCATCATACATCAATGTCCGCTGGGTCTTTTACTCTCAGCATGTTTTTTTATAGCCAATGTTAATGTAGGAAAGTTGTTTTCAGTTTCAAAATACTATGAAGAAATGATGTAATAATAAATAATTTTAATAATATATTTATATTTATAGTTCTGGATGTGGATAAACCAATAATAACTGCTTGAAGTAGACTTTTCATTTTTTGCTGAGCTCTCTTTGTTTCTCTCTCTCACTCTCTCTCATTCACTTTGTATATAAATTTATATTTGCAATGCATCCGGAAAGTATTCATAGCGCTTCACATTTTTCACATTTGTTTTATGTTACAGCCTTATTACAAAATGGATTAAACTCATTTATTTTCTCAACAATCTACACACAATACCCCTTATTATAATAATAATGACTTTTTTATATTGTTGCAAATTTATTAAAAATGAAAAACCTGAAAAATTACATGTACATCAGTATTCACAGGCTTTGCTGTGGAGCTCTAAATTGAGCTCAGGTACATTCTGTTTCCACTGATCATTCTTGAGATGTTTCAGCAGCTTAACTGAAGTTCACCTGTGGTAAAATCAGTTGATTGGACATGACTTAAAAAGGCATACATCTGTCTATATAAGGTCCCAGGGTTGACAGTGCATGTCAAAGCACAAACCAAGCATGAAGACAAAGGAATTGTCTGTAGACCTCAGAGACAGGAGGCACAAGGCTGGGGAAGGTTACAAAAAAATTTCTGCTAGTCTGAAAGTTCCAATGAGCACAGTGGCCTCCATCATCCGTAAGTGGATGATGTTTGGAACCACCAAGACTCTTCCTAGAGCTGACCGGCCATCTAAGCTGAGTGATCAGGGGAGACGGGCCTTAGGCAAGGAGATGATTAATAGCCCGATGGTCACTTTGTCTGAACTCAAGCGTTCTTCTGTGAAGAGAGGAGAACATAACAGAAGGACAACCATCTGTGCAGCAATCCACCAATCAGGCCTGTATGGTAGAGTGGCCAGATGGAGGCCTGGAATTTGCCAAAAGGCATCTGAAGGACTCTGAGACCATAAGAAACAAAATTCTCTGGTCTGATGAGACTAACATTGAACTCTTTGGAGTAAAAGCCAGGTATTACATTCGGAGAAAACCAGGCATCACTCATCACCAGGCTAATACCATCCCTACAGTGAAGCATGATGGTGGCAGCATCATGCTGTGGGGATGTTTTTCAGCAGAAGGAACTGGAAGACTAGTCAGGATAGAGGGAAATATGAATGCAGCAATGTACAAAGACATCCTGAATGAAGACCGGCTTCAGAGTGCTCTTGACCTCAGACTGGGGCGACAATTCATCTTCCAGCAGGACAATGACCCAAAGCACACCGCCAAAATATCAAATGTAGTGGCTTTGCTACAAATGTCCTTGAGTGGCCCAGCCAGAGCCCAGAACGATTGAACATCTCTGGAGAGATCTGACAATGGCTGTACACCGTCCCTTCCCATCCAACCTGAGCTTGAGAGGCACTGCAAAGAGGAATGGACAAAAATTCTCAAAGACAGGTGTGCCAAGCTTGGGGCATCTTATTCAAAAGGATATGAGGCTGTAACTGCTGCGAAAAGTGCATCAAAAAAGTATTGAGCAAAGGCTGTGAATACTTTTTGTATGTATTTGTGATTTTTCAGGGTTGCTTTAAATAAATTTGCAACAATTAAAAAAATTCACATTGTAATTATGGGGTATTGTGTGTAGAGTTTTGAGGAAATTCATTTATTAAATCCATTTTAGAATAAGGCTGAATCATAAAGAAATGTGGAAAAATTTAAGTGCTATGAATACTTTCCAGATGCACTATATATATATATAAATATATTAAGGGTGGAGCCGAACCCGAATACGGTATTCGGAAAGGCACGAATAGCGTGTTTTTACGAATACTTATTTCGAACAAATACTTGAAAAATTATTTGTATTCGGGAGCAAGAAAAGCATTATATCAAAAAGCTGCGTTTCCTCCTGAGACCACAGTGCGTGAGTGAGTGAGTGAGTGAGAGAGAGAGAGAGAGAGAGAGAGAGAGAGAGAGAGAGAGAGAGACGGAGGGTGGGGCGGAGGTTAAAGGTCTCTGGCACACGCTTCTCCACAGCAGCAGACAGAGAAGGCTCAGCTGAGCGAAAAAAATACTATTTTGTACCTTAATTGGGTTCCAGATGCAGTTTATAAACTTGTAGCGGAGTTTGTTCGGGATTTTCCATTACGCTGCATTTTTGAAGTTTGCAATCGGGTGCTCTTTGTTTACGCAACGTTAGCTCTGTTAGCGCGGTAATTTAGACAATAGACTGTTGACAGAGTAACGTTAACGTTCTTTTATAAAGGTTAAAACGATGCTTTTGCAGTTGTGTCGAATAGTATGCACCTATGGGAGTTATATGGTACGTCTAAATAACTGTCTTTTGCAGACAGCAAGATATATGCTATAGGCTAGTTAACCTTAGCATAGCTTCCCGTCACTTTTTATTAACTTGAAACTCCTCAAATACATTTGGGCACCATGAAAAAGAGTGAGAGTGCTGCTGAGCCATTTCTTGGTCCTCCACCAGTAAAAAAAATAAAACTTCATGTTCTTTGTGGAAGCATTTTACAGTCAGTGGTGCTGCAGATAAAACAAACTGATACTGTAGAATGTTTACAAAAGTGAAATCAGCAGAGGCAGAGATATTAAACATCTGGCAACATCTCCTATGCATAATCATTCATTTTCTTTTCGGCTTAGTCCCTTTATCAATCTGGGGTTGCCACGGTGGAATGAACCACCAATTTATCCAGCATATGTTTTACGCAGTGGCTGCCCTTCCAGCTGCTACCCAGCACTAGGAAACATCCATACACTCTCTTTCACACACATACAATAGGGACAATTTAGCTTACCCAATTCACCTATATTGCATGTGTTTGGACTGTGGGGGAAACCGGAGCACCTGGAGGAAACCCACGCCAACATGGGGAGAACCCAGTCGAGGCTTGAACCAGCAACCTTCTTGCTGTGAGGCGACAGTGGTACTCACTGTGCCACCGCGCAACCTTCTATGTAATGTATTATCACATGCACTAAAAGCATCCTCTCCTGATACTGTCTGTGAACCCCCCACAAGCATCAATCCCCTCAATCAGCACAGCTATGTTCTGCTAAATCCTCCACAAGCACCAAACCATCAACACAGCCACATTCTGCCAGATGACAATAGCAGGGCTGTATCTTTTAGTATTATATAGAATACTTTTGTTCTGCCAGATCTCCCAGGCAGGGTTTTATTTAGATTTATTTAGTTAATTTTAGTTTTTGGAATTCTGTCCATTGGAAAGAAGTTCTTTCTGAAGAAGAACAGTTTTTTGAAGTATTATTTGTTTTTATTCTGTCTATTCAGTGTCCTTTAACAAGAACGGTGGTGGTGGGGTTCATAATATTCACAATGGTATTTTATTAGTTGTTGGTTTAACCATGGATGAGATAATGGCTTCTATGTTATTTTCTTTTCAATGACATTTCTTATCACATGTTCAAAAACAACAGCCAATATTGCATGTCTATAATTTATATAATAGGTATAATTAAACAATACTTTCAGTATAACGTAAATTAGAAGTGTAATAGAAAAAAATATATATTTTTGCGCCATTTTGAATTTTACTCGAATACAAATACAAATACAAATACTTTTCCCCCTCAACAAATACAAATACAAATACCGGCTGCTCCGCACATCCCTAATATATATACAAATACCGGCTGCTCCGCACATCCCTAATATATATATATATATATATATATATATATATATATATATATATATATATATATATATATATATATATATATATTAGAAGGCTCAGCCAATGGAGTGAATTTGGGGTGGGGCTACAGTATCTTTTTTCTTTAACCAATTGCAATTGAGTGGGGCGTGTTCTGGAAATTGCTACATCTGCAGAAACAACATACTTGATATTTGGTTTATTCTTTTGGACTGTCAATGAGACATTAAGGAGGCTCTGCCAATAGTGTGAGTTTGGGGTTTGGCTATATGTTTTTTACCAATAACACATGAGAGTGGTGTACTGGAAACCTATAAATCTGTGGAATTGACATAATTCAAATTTTAATTGTCATTTGGAGGGTTGAGGTAAATTTTAGGAGACTTGTTCCAATAGTATGAATTAGGGGTGGGGCTATGTGCTTTTAGACCAGGGGTCACCAATCTCATTCCTGGAGGTCTGGTGCCCTGCAGGGTTTAGCTCCAACTTGCCTTAACACACCTGCCTGGGTGTTTCAAGTATACCTAGAAAGACCTTGATCAGCTTGTTCAGGTGTTTTTAAATAGGGTTGGAGCTAAAATCTGTAGGACACCGGCCCTCCAGGAACAAGTTTGGTGATCCCTGTTTTAGACTAACAGCAGGTGAAGGTGTGTTCTGGAATACATACTCAACATTTGATTTATTATTTGGATTGTCAATGTGACATTTAGGGGGCTCGACCAAAAAAATGTAAATAGGAAGTTGCATTTATTTATTTTGGTTTGTTTGTTTGATTTTTGACTAAAAGCAAGTGAATGACGTGTTCTGGAAACCTTTAAATCTGGAGTAACTATATACTTGGTTCACTTGGTTTGATCTCAGGAGGGTCAAGGAGACGTTCAGGAGGCTTTCCTCTTATAGAATCTGCTCGGCTCTGAGTAAAAGCAATTGAAAGTTGTGTTGTTCCGGTGTGTTTATGACAAGTGTTGTGCATGCCTCTGTGCGCCAATGCTGAATTACAGTTGATAAATCTTGTCATTTTCTCGTTTGTGCGACCGCAGGTGTGCCAGCTCTCTTCGTGTCGACCTGGGCTGTCGTCAGGGCAACGCTGGCGGATGCAAGGTGGGCTTTCTGTATATCATATCCAGACTTCTCAGAAAAAGCCCAAAACACACACTGACAAACAATCTGTTTATATATATATAAATGAATAAAGGGATATTTCTGTCTTGTTTCCCAAGGTGTTGGGAGTTGAGCGCGGGCAACATTAAATGGATTTACCAAGTTCCTATACTGACTGCAATTGGGGTGAGGAACTATTTACTAGTCGCATTCACTAAATTAGTGTGATTTTTAAAATACTACTGTATTGGTTTTATGTATTCGTTTTCAGTATTGTAATCTTAGATTCTTTTTTTTATCATGTCTAGTGGCATTTATTTTAAATTTCCTAAGCTTTTATTCATTTTTGTCTCAGTTTTCTTTTCTCCTTCCAAGTATTTAAGTCCCTGAACTGTTTCATTTCATTCTTCGGTGTCAATGTTGTCGTTTGCTGAATACGATCTATTGCTGCTTCATTTGCTTTGTGTTTCCTGTGTTTTCTTTTGGCGTACAGTTAAAGGCTATATTTGGGACTTTACTTCTTTCCTTCTGTGCTTTACATACTGTAGCACCGGCACATTACTCAGGGTTTATCTCAGCTATTTTAAGTAACGACCTCAGCAAAAACAAAACAGTCTGAACTGTGGGATACAAATGCAGCATTCCTAGAAATAAGTCAAAAGTGCCTGTGCATTAGCAGTTATGAGAAATAAAGTCAACATTGCTTTACGAAAGTTAGATTTGAGGGATGTAAACTGATATGATAACTCAAAGTAGTTAGAAATGTAAACTCAAAATAAGATCTAAATATGGAATTGCATGAAATTAACTGTAATGTGGGATTTAAATGAAGAATTGCTAGAAAGTCAAAATGGAAAAAATAATAACTCAAAATTGTGAGATGTGTACGTAAAATGGCAAGAAACAAACTCAGAATTATGAGATGTATATTGAAAAAATTGTCATTTATACTCAAAATTACAAATAAATCTCAAATTATGAAATGTAAAGTGTACATTGCAAGAAATCTTCAAATTGTAAGATGTTAATTCAAAACTGGGAGGTATAAAATTAGAATGAGATGCGTAACTTAAATTGAGATGAAAACTCTGAATTGTAAATCTATATCGCAAGTGATTTTTTGTCAAAATTGTGAAATTTAACTTCAGAATTATAAGAAAAAGTGAAAATTGTGAGATGTTAATTCAATAACCTGGAACCCCTCTTCTTTTCCCCCACCCCACGACATGACAACTTCAAAATATTATGCAATACTCAGTGTGAGTGGGCTTGACAAACCACCAGTAGAAATCACACTCTTTCATCTCTCTGTCATTTTAACACACATTTGCACCAGACACTTTCTTACAATCACTCAACATCTCTTAAAAAACATTGTGTATTTATGGTATATATGAAGCAAGAGATCGCGATGACATATGATGACGTGTACAGGTGCTGTAGTGTTGTCCCAATTCTTAGGGGTAAATTTTGAAGCCTTTTCCCTTAACACTCAGTTGTAAGAGCCAAGGGGAAGGGGAAGGGGTACAAAAATAGAAATGGGATTGGCCATAAGCTCAAAATGACAAGATTAGTGCAAGAGAAAATAATAAACTCTCACAATTGTGAGAAATTAAGTCACGGTTTTGGGGGAAATGTCAGAATAGCAAGACGTAAACTCATAATTAAGTTTACATCACACAATTCAGGATTGCCAGGCGCAAAAAAAGGCAATGGAATCAAAAATAAAAAAAGTCACGATAGAAAAAGTCAAATAGAAAAGTCAAAATGAAAAGTTACAAATGCGTTTTTTTCAAGACCATTTCAATGGGATGAGTTAAAAAAAACAAACGTTTTTTAAATGGGACAAAAACAAGCGAGAACTTTAAAAGTCACCACAGCGGAATGAACCGCCAACTATTTCAGCATATGTTTTACAACGCAGAAAATGCTTAGATTAAATCAGACATTCTTATCAGTCATTTGAACTGCTATAACCGTTAACGTAGTCATAATATTTAATGTTTATTTCTTTTTATTCTAGTGGTCAATTAAACATTCTTTCCTTTTCCTTAGCTTAGTCCCTTATTTATCAGGAGTCACCACTGCAGAATGAACCACCAACTATTCCAGCATAAATTTTATGCTCTTCCAGCCGCAACCCAGTACTGTGAATCACCCATACACACTCATTCACACACATACTTATATACTACGGCCAATTTTAGTTTATTCAATTCACCTACAGTATAGAGCATGTCTTTGGACTGTGGGGGAAACTGTAACACCTGGAGGAAGTCCACGGGAACATGGGGAGAACATGCAAACTCCACACAGAAATGCTAACTGGTCCAGCCGGGACTCGAACCAGTGACCTTCTTGCTGTACGGCTACAATGCTAACCACTGAGCCACCGTGTCGCCTCAACTTCACAACAAAATACTCATTTTTAGGCTAACTGAAAGTTGCATAATATTCCATCCGGCAGTCGTCAACGCCTCAGAGGGCGCCAGATTGCACTGCAATGCCAAAAGTGCCATCAAAGCAGTTGTTAAGAGATGCAGCTGTCTTCCCATTAACCTCGAATTCAACCCCAACGCCCCGCGCTCTAAATGAAAGCCTCAAAATCCTGTAATCCAGCATGTCAAAAGGTCGATCGGGATTGCGGCGCACTATCGTTTTGTTGACGTGCTGTGACTGAATGTGATTGACCAGTTAGCGGTTGCATGCATATATTTATCTGCTGGATGGGCAGACGGAGACATTATGCCGTTAATTATTGGCTTTGCCGAGTGTAAGCGCAGTAATGGAGAACGTCTGAACGCCAGGAGAGCTGTAATTATGCGACAGAATGCAAATGTATTTTCCTGCTTGCTGCTGCCTGTCAACAAAACATATAAATTAGGACTTAACACACACAGATGAATCCACGCACAAGCGCTCATCACGACTAACAATTTCTATGGTGTATTGATTAAGACGTACAAAATAGGTAAAGCGGAATGAGAGAAATGACTGAAACCTGTTAAAAACGTTCACGGCTCAGCGACAACGGGAGCTCATCACGCTTTGGCGGAGTAATTCCTCAACGGAGCTTTTTTAAAGTAGTTAATTTAAGGAACTTTAAAACCTTTCTCTCTAGTCAATCTGTCTCTCATTCCTGAAGAATAATGAACATTTCTGCCACATCATGAACTCAGTTCATTTTTCGGGAGAGGCCATGTTGTGTTTAATGGCATTCTGGAGTGGAGATGATATTTTAATCACTTCTGGAACAAAATTGCCTGTTGTGCTGCCAATTCAGACAATGAAGTAAAATGATCACACTTTTTTTTTTTTTTTTTTGCGAGAATTGATTAAACTAAAGCTGGAATTAGAAATGATGGATAAAATATCCTTTATTAATAGAATGTTTAGTGTAATTATTTGTATATTTCATTTAATTTATTCCGATTTGATCATTTGGTATCAGAAGTGGTTTATATGAAAGGCAAAGGCCTCTAGATTACGCTTATTTTACCTAAATAAAATAAGATCATGCCTTTTTTTTTAGGACAGTAAGGTCTTACTTTGCTTAGACAAAGGTCTTGTCACTTAACAGAAATAATGTGCAGTATAAAGTATAAATATTATATCTGCAATGAACAAACTTATTATAAAAGTCATCTGGAATGGCAAAGAAAGCTCCCAGAGATCACACTAACACCATGCTAACAGCATGCTAACAAAATGCTAATTCACACTAACAACATGCTTACTCATGCTAACAACGTTTACAACATGCTAACAACACGCTAAAAACAGAATAATTCATGTTAACAACATTTTAACTCATGCTAACTTGTGTTAACAACATGGTAACAACATGCTAACCTATCTTAACAACATGCTAACTCACACATGCTAACAACAGGCTAAAAACACACCAATTAATGCTAACAACATGCTAACTCAATCTTTCAACGCGATAACTCACACTAACAGCAAGCTAATATTCTAAAACACGCCATTTCTATCTAACAACATGCTGACTCAGGCTAACAACATGCTAACAACAAGCTAAATCATGTTTACTCACTCAAACAACAAGCTAACAACATGCTAACTTATGCTAATCCATGCTAAAAACAAGCTAACAACATGCTAACTCATGCTAATCCATGCTAACAACAAGCTAACAACATACTAATTAGCATTAACAAAATGCTAACAACAAGCCAACTCATATAAACTCACGCTAACAACATGCTAACTCCCACTAACATTCTAACTCATACTAACATGTTAAACCATGTAAATTCACCCTAACAACATGCTGACTCACACTAACAACATGTTAACAACATGCTAACAACAAGCTAACTCATACTAATTCTCGCTAACAACATGCTAAATCACACCAACATGTTTACTCGTGCTAATTTGCTAAAAATTCATGCTAACAAAATGCTGACGTTAACATGTTAATATGGTAACAACCAGCTAACTCATGCTAACACACGTTAACAACATGCTAAAACACACTACCAACAAGCGAACATCATGCAAAAACTTCACGCTAACAACATGCAAAAAATACGCTAATTCATGCTAACATGCTGACTCACGCTAATAACATGTTAACAACATGCAACAACGAGCTAACTCATAACAACATCTTAACAACATGTTAACAAGCTAACTCATGCTAACTCAAGTTAACAATAAAATACGCTACCAACAAACTACCAACATGTTAACATGCTAATTCATGATAACAACATGCTAACAACAAGCTAACTTACATTAATAACCGAAACCATGCTTTTCTGCAGTATTTGTGACAGACGATCATCTGAAAAAATCGACTAAATATGAGTAAATGCAATACAATATAATATTAAATATAATAAATGTAATATATATAGAGAGAGAGATAGAGAGATTTGTATTCCCCTGAACATCTTAAATTTTAAACAGTCCAGCTGTGAATTAAACACGTTTTGTTTGTCTTATCTTCCTTGCAGTTGAATTTCATTCTGTTTGTAAATATTGTACGAGTCCTGGCGACGAAGATCCGAGAAACCAACGCAGGCCGATACGACACACGTAAACAATACAGGTGAGCGCATGAAATGATTGTTATGCTGGCACACGACCTCCTTCAAACATCTGTACGGTATGTTATATTGGACGAGAGATTGTTTTCTACCAGTGACAAATTAAACTCAAATCAAACAGTATCTGAAGATATCTGATTCCATAAGGCTACGAGTGCAGGTGTTGCGTTCTCTGATATACGATGCCTTCATGCAGCTGCCTAATTCTGTTTTTGCTGGTTCTGCTGCTTGTTGTCGGCGAGGTGGAGTGTTTGGACATTATTGTCGAGATATCCGGGAGAGGACTGTAATTTTCCGGAGGGTGTTTGAAAGGCTTTTTTCCACCGAGAGAAATAGAGGGAGAGTCTGCTTTGATTAACAGCGCGTCTCCCTTTGGGTGAAAGTCACCGGATCTCTCTGACTAATAGTCTGTAACTCGCTGTATAGACATGGTCTCTTATCAGAGCTGCCCGTTAATCAAGCAAATCCCTCTTGTCTGTAATAATAATATCCTCGCTTGGCTTTGAAGTACAGCTTCACTGTCTGCCTTTGCGTAATGATGCTCTGAAATTTTTTAGATTTGCTGAAGTGGCGCATGCAGATTATAATACACAGACACAAAGGAATTTCTCTTTGGAGGGGGGGGGGGGGGTATTGCTAAGGGGTTATTAAGTTGTTTTCAGGGTGTTTGCTAGAAAGTTGTAGAAGGTTGATAGAGTGTTTTGAATGATACCTATTGTAGGTAGTTACTATGGTGTTGTAGTTGTTCTAAATGGTTGCTAAGGTGTTCTGGGCAGTTGCTAGGGTGTTTTAGGTGGTTGCTAGGGTGTTCTAGATGTTCTATATGGTTGCTAAGGTGCTCTAAGCAGTTGCTATGGTGTTTTGGTGGTTGCTAGGCTGTTCTAGGTGATACCTAGTTTATTCGAGATATTTTTTCTAGGGTATTGGTATGGATAATAGCTAGTGTAGGTGGTTACTAGGGTGCTCTTAGTATTTACGGAGGTGTTCGGTATGATTGCCATGATGTGCTGGGGGTTTATTAAAGAGTTCTAGATGGTTGCTAGGGTGTTCTAGGTATGTTATACCGTTGTTAGGATGTTCTGGGTGGTCGTTAGAGTGTTCAGGGTGTGTTTGGATCTTCTGGGTGGTTGCTAGTGTATTGTGGATGATAGCTACTCTAGGTGGTTGCTGAGATGCACTGGTTATTTACTAAGGGGTTCTATATGGTTGCTCTAATGTGCTGGCTGTTTAGATGGTTGCTAGAGTGTTATGAATGATAGCTAATGTAGGTGGTTGCTTAGGTGTTCTATATGGTTGCTAAGGTGTTCTGGGTGGTTGCTAGGGTGTTTTGGGTTGGTTGTCAGGGTGTTCTAGGTGATTCCTAGGGTATTCAAGATGGTTTGTAGGGTATTTTGGATGATAGCTAGTGTACGTGGTTACTACGTGGAGTGCTCTGGGTAGTGACTGAGGTGTTCTACATGGTTGCTATGACGTTCTGAGTGCTTCTAGATTCAAATTTCTAGATGGTGTCTAGGGTGTTATGAAAGATCACTTTTGTTTTTGGTTGCTAGGGTGTTCTGGGTATTTACTGGGGTGTTCTATATGGTTGCCATTGTGTCTAGGGTGTTTTGGGTGCTAAGGCTGGTTGCTAGGGTGTTCTAGGTTATTCTTAGGGTATTTAAAGTGTTTTCTAGGGTATTATAGATAGCAGCTTCAAAAGATGGTTACTAGAATGATCTAAGTATTTACTGAGGTGTTCTTTATTGTTGCTATGATGTTATGGGTGTTTAGTAGAGAGTTCTAGGTAGTTGCTAGGGTGTTATTAAATATAGCTATTGTAGGTGGTTGCTAGGGTGCTCTGGGTATCTACTGCTACTGTTCTATATGGTTGCCATGGTGTTCTGGGTGGTTGCTGGGGTGTTTTGAGTGTGTGTTTGGGTGTTCTGGCTGGTTGCAAGGGTGTTTGTGTTGGTTGCTAGGGTGTTCTGGGTATTTACTGAAGTGTTCTACGTGGTTGTTATGGAATTCTGAGTGCTTGGTAGAGAGTTTTAGATGGTTGCTAGGGTGTTATGAATGACAGCAATTGTAGATGGTTGCTAGGGTGTTCTAGGTATTTTATATGGTTGCTATGATGTTCTGGGTGGTTGTTAGGGTGTTTTGGATGTGTGTTTGGTTGTTCTGGTTAGTTGCTAGGGTGCTCTAGGCGATTGCTAGGGTATTCAAGATGGTTGCTATTGTATTATGGATAATACCTACTGCTGGTTGTTGCTAGGGTGCTCTGGGTATTTGCTGATGTATTCTATATGGCTGCTAGGGTGCTCTGGGTGGTTTGTTAGACTGCTATAGAGGATTCCTTGAGTATTCTAGATGGTTGCTTGCGTGTTATGAATGATAGCTAATGTAGGTGGTTGCTAAGGTGCTCTGGGTATTTACTAAGTTGTCCTATATCGTTGCTAGGGTGTTATAGGGGATTGGTAATGGTATTTTGGATGGTTTCAAGGGTGTTTTGACATGTTCTTGATTTATGCTAGGGCAGTTGCAAGGATGCTCTAGGTGATGGCTATTGTATGATATGTTCTGGGTTGTAGCTACTAAATGTGGTTGCTAGGGTGTTTTATGTGATTTTCTGAGTATTTGCTCTTGTTTTCTATGTGGTTGCTTGGCTTCTGTTAGTGGTAGTTGTGTTAGTTGGTTGTTAAAGTAGTTTAAGTGGTTGCCAGGGGTTCTGGGTTGTAGTTGAGGTGGTTTATTATGGTGTTGTGAGTGGTTGCTATGATGTTCTGGATTCTAGGCTATCTACTGATTAGGGATTAGGGTGTTTATGATGGTTACTGTGGTGTTGTAGGTGGTTAGGTTACTTTTGTTAGTGTTCTGGGGGTTTTTTCTACTACCTACTAATCACCTACTACTGTAGGTGTTCACTATGGTGTTCTTGGCAGTTACTAGGGTGGTCTAGGATTTAGAAAGTGTAGTTGGTTGCTACAGGGTTCTAGATAACTTCTGAGCTGTTCCAGGTAATTGGTAGGTGTTCTCTGTGGTTAAAACTTTAGTTAAAAAGCTAGGATGTTCTGTATAATTTTAGGGTATTATGGGTGGAAGCTGCAGTGTTTTGTGTGGTAGTTATGATAAGTGATTCCCAGGTTATGCACAGTAAAATATATATGATATACCAGTAGATAATTGGGAGCCATTTATGCATTGTAGCCAGAGCAAGATGGACACTGTGAACATTGTCAGTGTTATTACACCTTCTATCAGCTGAATCAGTCAGTCCTCTAACCTCTGGTAGCAAGAAGACATTTTTGCCCACAGAACTGCTCATTACTGGATATTTTCTCTCTTTCTGACCATTCTCTGTAAACCCTACAGATGGCCGTGTATATAAAAAAATCCCAGTAGATCAGCAGTTTCTGAAATAGACCAGTCCCTCTGGCCTCTAGCATGTAAAAAGTCACTTAAATCCCTATCCTCCAGCTTATGCCATGTCCACACGTACTCAGTTATTTGAGTTTCTCTGCTTTATTAAAAAAAAAAAAAATCACTGGAAACATGAAAACACAAACTGTGATGCACTGTCAAGGGTATGCCAAATCAACAGGCGGTGATAAAAGCCTCATGCTAAATCAATTCAAATGGTTAAACAGAGGCAAATAGCTTCATGCACCTTGAATGGTGCAGGATGTGCAACACAATTTACATGAATGTAGGAAATTTGCCTAAAATCGCATCCACGTGCACATTTAAAGTCAGATTCATCTTGAGAATAAAATTCTTGTAAGATAAACAACATCCCGTGGGTAAACTAGAGGAAGTGACTGGCTGGATCAATTAGGGTGTTTTTACATCTGTGGTTCGATTCATTTGGTCCAGACCAAGGTCAACAAATGATACATTGTAGCATTATTTTGCCCTTTTGGGTTGTTTTCGCGCCATACTGATTGCTTTGGTCCGAACCAGTTGAAAAGAACCAAAATGCAGTCATGTGACAAATTCCACATCACTCATTGGCCAGAAGTTATTGAACATATTTCTAAAACTACTTTTCGATTGGCCAAAATTAACATGTGTCAAAATGCCAATGGAACTCCCGCAAGTAAACAAACCGGCAGAAACAAAATGTGGCTTTTTACTGTGGAGCTACGACTGCGCTGGCTGATTGTATCCCTGGTCATAGTATCCTCTATAGTTTGTATACCTAACTTTGGACAAACTATACATTTCGAGCAGGGCTTATTTTGTGCTAAAATTGGCACCTCATTTTACCGATACCCCTCCTTAACTGCCATCCTCCCCCGTCTGCTGTTCACTTTCTTCCGCGACTCCCCAACCTTCTTCACTTTTGTCCATCAAAACCCACCGGTCTTCACTTTCATCCCAACACCCCTCTGCCATCCAATACTCCTCCGCCATCCAACACCCCCCCCATCCAACCCCCGCCCCCAGTCTCCACTATCGCGCGCGCGACCTCTACATCCTCTGTTAACATGTCGGATTCATTACCCCGATCTGTTCCGGGACCTCCCAATTCAGAAATTAGGCACTGATTTTGAGAATGAAGTGCGGCTGCGGCTGGAAAACAATGTTTTAATGCATTGCAAATGGCAAAGGCACAACGCAAGTCACCTCAGGAGGACGCGTGAATTAATTTAGCTAAACTGCGACATGGTCATCTTCCGGAAATATTACCAACTATCCATCAGGTAATGTTTTTTCCTCTCAATCTCTGTTTAAAATTCTTGGTAAAGTGCTGTCAAATAATATTATTCCTCCACATCCAATAATGCATAGCGTATTGGACTACGGCAGTTGGAGTAGTCCAAAAAGGCGCAGTTTTTCTGGTTGGGTCTGTTTAAGTTTGGATCATGTTCTCTCCACAAACTAACCACTCCATGGTTTGTTCGAAAGCATTCCAAGATCATCTCTTCAAGGAGGACTCGGTATGCTTTTTTAGTCTGATTTGGTGAGCATTTGAGTGCGATTGCCCAAATGAACCGCACCAAGAGGGAAAACGAACTCTGCGATG